AAAGTACATCATAATTATTTGAGATTAATTAATGACGTAAGAATTTAATCCTTTCAATATTTGATGGATCAAAATTCAAAAATAAAAAGTTATTTTTCTACTTAAATTCAAGTTAAGCAATGAAAGGAAAAGTTATAATCGAAATTCTCATTTGAATAATAAATTATTTTACTCAGTGTGTGTGTGGGTGGGGGGTAATAATGGCTAGCAAGCTTGTCTGGTTCATCAGTAGTTAGTTTGATACTCATTGAGTGCATTTGTGACCTTGTACTAAGATTTGTTCCTAAGTGCATAGTCAAATTAAAAATTGCAAAATTATTGTAATCATTCTTCTTAACTAAGAGTAACACTTAAATGACAATAATGAGTTGTAAGAAAAGAACTATAACTTTAACATTGGCATTTCGCTGAATCAATGTTATTGATTTTTATTACCAGTAGTACACCTTTATCTGTGAGAGAGGGTTATCAATTTTATTGAGAAAGCCATTCAACAGAGATGATGAGAGCTGGATTTATGAAATCACCTGTCATCAAAATGCGCGGAAATATGACTACTGTAACAAAAAAAAAAGAACACGAAGGAAAAAAACTAATTCAGTTATTTTTTTAAAACGGGGTTTCCTTTCTCTATTTTCTGATTTTCTTCATAATTTGTACTCTAATTTAGTAATTGTACAATGCAAAGAACGAAGAAATATTTAACAAAAGAGCAACAATTAATTTGGGAAAATCTTTCATCGCTTTTTCTAAAAAAAAAATTATATAAAATTTTTTACTTTGCAGTTATAATTTTTAAAAAAATCATATTTTAAAAATCAAAAATGCTGTCACTCATTTTATTTTTAAAACAAGAAAAAAAGGTTCGAACAAATGTTAAAATAGCCTGCATTTGTAAAAAAAAAAATATGTATATGTTTCTCTTGATATAAAATTTAAAAAAAAGGTGAAATCATATGATTATAACAAAAAAAAACTAAAGCCACCTTTCCTCAGATGGGTATCACAGTTGCACCAACAAAGCACGTGACACGCTCTTGAAACTTACCTAAAAATCATGTGAACTATATAAAGTACATGATAAAAAAAAATCATGTCAGGTACTCATTGCATAATGAAAGAAATTTAGAAATAATGAATTAAAACATTCCTACACGATTTTTAATTTCACTATTTTATTTTTTTTATTGTGTTTTAATTTTTGATGCTTTTTTAGTGTTCTTGATTATAGAAAATATTAATTTATGGAACAACACAGATGACAAATGTTGATGCAATTGGAAAAAAAAAGGTACATCAGAAACACAGATCATATTTTATTAAATAATAAAACTAAAAGAGAAGTTCAAACCTACGTACACTTTACTTTACCAACAGACTTGGATGATTTTTATTTTTATAGCACAGTCGCACATTGATTATTAAATTATTTATGGATATAAAAAGAAAAAGGGGAATGAATGAAAGCCATTGTAGTTATTTTTGAGTCCCTTTGCACTCAAACAAAACAATACATTTTTATTTTGATTTACCTTTGGAACAAAAAACGTGTAAATGTTCATGGACATTTTTCGAAATTGGATTTATTCAGCAAACTACAAAAATACACATTCTCATTATTCGTCACACAAACACACACACTACAGTACACTGTGTACACACAATCATAATTATCATCATCATGAAGCAACTGCAGAGATTTATTAAGAAATACGAAATGAGTTGCAAAAAAAAGTTAAAATTGTGTTCTTAATAAAAGTACGAACATTGAAAATAACACCTTTATTATAATACTTTTAAATTATGAAGACATAAAGAACTTGTTAAAGAATGAAAGTGCATTGTGAATGAAGTTGAATCGAAAAGGGGTAACACCGTAACAGGCACCAAAGACAATGGAGATTTTTTGAGACAAAAGAAGTGTGACAGGATTGACAGAGCAGGATGAATGGGTGTGAAGATAGAATAAACTTTTTGGTAAAATGGTGTAATTGGTAAACAACGTTGCATTTAGGACCAAAAGAAAATGTCTCTCAAAAAAGTCAAAGCCAATTGAATAAAAATGCAATAATGTTAAGAAGAGTTTTAAAAATGAACACTTTTAAAAATATTACAAAAAAAAAAATTCACTTAGCAGTGCTCACTAGAGAAATTGAATTTAAGTTAATCTTTTTTAAGAATAAGAAAACTACAAATACACTTGATCAAAAAATAACATTTTTTGAACAAAAGTTATGAATGCCTCATTTACACAAGGAAATTCAGATTGAATGAATCTGACAATTCAATAAAACGAAAACCGTTTCTTTCGCTTTTTTTTTTGTAAATAAATAATAATCGAAACTTAGAACATTTAATTTTAATATTTTTCACAAATATTTACATTTCTTCTTGCTGTTAGAGATGTTAGTTACATAAGCTTAAAAAAAGAGTTTGTTGATGGTAGGTATAAAAAAATAATGGTTTCTTAAGTTGTCATTATTTTGAAAATGATTGATTACCTACGTTTTGTCTAGTTCAACAAGTTCCAGAGAAAAGTTCAAAGAAAAAATAATACTTTTTTATTCTTCATTCAATCCTCTCACCAAGTTGAACAAGAAGTAAGTGTATGTCCGCAATTGTGCGTAAATGAAATGACAACAGGCTGTAAGTAGTGTAGAGATTGTTATGCACGATGTCATTTCGTACATATACTCACTACTAGACAGTTTAGTTTTTAGTTAGTAAGATTACAGATGATTACTACTGTAATGAATCAAATTCATTCATTACACTACTACACTGTTAGTGTTAAACACTGATTGAACTTAAAAAAAAAACTAAGAGTGAGTAACACCAACTACAAAAGAACTAGGCAATCTAATTTAATTTTAAAATTCTAGTTTGTCGTGAAAGTAGGTAGAATTTTTAAGCAGGTTTTTGTGAGATAAAAAATATATTCACGTTAAAATTAGTTTGGACACCTCGTTAGTGAACACTGAACAATAACATGGATAATTTGAAATTATGTGCAACTTGAAAAGGAACCTTAGGGAAGTTTCAACTCAACACTAAGTAAGATCAGGTAGATACGTACAATCAATTTTTAAAAAAATATTTTATTTTTTATTAGAAAAATGATAATGTGAAGACATTTATTTTAGTGATATTAATTTAAATTTTAAATTATAACTCAGTGACATCAAGTTCTTTCACAGTTTTTTCTACTACTTTTTTAATTAACAAAAAAAATGAAAATAAAATAAATTAATTAATCGTTTTCTTCATCGAAACCAAACATTCGCTTAAGTTTTCTTTTCTTCATTTTAGTTGTTATTCTTTCTTTTCTTTTTTAACCAAACAACTTATTGTTTAACAGTTGATTTGTGAATGGAATTTTCGTTGGGCTGTTTTATGATATTTTGTTTGACCTATTTACATAAACATCTTGTTTTGATTTAACTTTGTAGTCATTGAAAACGGTATAGCCTGGAAAACTAAAAACTTGAAATAAAAATCCTGCTGTGATATGGCCAGTTCAAGTTAAAGTATGATAAACAAGTAAAAAAACAAAAACTGAATCGTATATGATCTCACTTGACTCACTCAACAAAACTAAAGTCAGTAAATGATGGGAAGAATGTAAAAATATAAAGACCTACCAATGGAAAATTTATTCCTGAAATCTAGTTTCAGACTGAAATAATCTGACCAAACTATGAAACAAGAAAAGTTTAATTCTAATTCAATTTATGCTCTTCAGTACAAATGTATGACAAGAGGAAAACTAAAAAAAATATTCATGAAAAATCAATTACGGTGTTTTTATGCTACCTGAATGATTGGAATGTCATGAGAAACGGTATGAATGAAGTTAAAGATGTCTGTGCCGGTTATAACAAACTCGACTTTACTACAGTACACAATTAATTCATAAAAGGACCATCTTTCGTGTTTTTTGTTTTCATTGTTCTTTTTTTAACATTCGTGGGATTATCAACATTTTTGCGTTGAGAACTTAATAAAATTCAGTTGCCTTTTCTCAGATTCTAGGATGAAAGTTCTTTGTATTTTTCGACCGAAACGGTGTGTTACAAACAACAAAGATGAACATAGAAAGAAAGAAGAAAAAATTAGAATCAGAATAAAATTAATTTATCTCGTGTATTTATTTTTTGTCGTCGTCATTCAGTTTCCTATGCATAAAAAAAATGAAAAACAAGTACCATTTTCTTTTCATTTTTGAAGTTTCAGATAGAATGAAAGAGAAGGAAAATTTTAATTCAACAACCAGGTAAGGAGGTGATAAGTGTACGTGTCACACTGTATTTGAGTGAAAGAAAAGATAATTATGTGAATGTGAATAATAAATAAATAATAAAACTTCGGAATTCCGAATATCGGTAATGAATGCTATTTTTTAGCTTCCAAGACAACACAAAATTACTGGTTGAAGATTTGTTTATTTTTATTTGATTTGTCTATTTTTACGTAATTCAAAATGTGTATTTTAGTAGATTTAACTCGCTTGTTGATCGATTCTTAAAATAAAATTACAGTACACGAATAGAGCTACTGTTTATTTTTTAATTAAATCAACATGTATTGTAAATGAATAAAAAGAGTTTATGACACTCAATTTTTTTCAATATGTGAACAGAAAAATCTTTTATTGAACTTAGATCAGTTATTTGATGAAAACTGAAAAGTCAACAAAGTGAAAGATTTTTAAATTGCTCTTTCTTTTTAGATAATCATAGAGATTTATTTACAGATTCTTCTGTAACTGGTCAGGCATCATATGACTTGAAAGTTTACCGTAAACACAAAAAGCATAATCAGATACAACTCTTTTAAGTGCAATATACATTTGCACTGCTGCTGCTGCTACCAAGACTCATTATTGTCACACGTGTAGATAAATCCATCAGACACATATCAAAAATTAAAATGAAAGCTTCAAAAAAAAAAAAAATTTTTTTTTTTTTGAGTATTTTTAAGAATAAAAAGAGGTGACAAACCTGTAGGGAATTCATTCACATGGTTTGCCTCGCATTTCAGTTTCGAACTAAAAATCGTTTGATTATGATCCAAAGAATTATAAGAGATTTTGTTGTTATCTTTGTCATGTAATATAGGTCCGAGAGGTGTATTTACGTCTGGCAGACCCGGATTGTCGAGCCCGTCTTCATCATCTGAGGCGTCCTTAGCAGGACCATGAGTGTGGCCCTTGTCCGCTCCATGGTGATGATTTTGACAACACGGCTCGGTAGCTGCGTCCTCTCGTTGGGTACAGCACATCTTCCATACATTTCGGCACGTCAGGTAATCCCAAGTTGTGAATGTCTTCGCATACATCCTACAACAAAAGGACAATCCGAAGATCCAATCCGATCCTTGTGTCACTTAATTCCAAGGATCGGGGCTCCGTTTTTCTTTTCTTTCTGCTTTGTGTGTTAGTGTTAGTTAAATGAAAAGAAACGACAATGGTGGAGACCCCAACCCAGCAGTAGCGGCTTTCTTTACCTACCTCCTCCAGCAATACACTAGACAACAGTAACACTGATGATGAGGATAGAAGATCAGCACACACCCGCACATAGACACATACTAATATTGGAACTCGAGAGAGTGAAAGAGGGAGTGCGTATATGAGAGAGAGAGAGAGAGAGAGAGAAAAGGAGTTAGGAAATGGAGAAATGGTCAGGAAGGAAAAAGATGCGTGAATTGGAACATAAAAACGGAGAGAAGTGAATTGTTAAAATTCAATGAAAAGAAAATAATCATTCAACGCTGGGATAAAGGTAGTGAAATAAAAAATATAAGAGAGAAAATAAAAACAACGCCACCAGAAATGTTTATTTTTGGAAAAGATAAATTTTTGTTTGTGAATGAATCTGTGCAATTTTGTCTGAATGAAGAAATAATGTATGAATTTCAAAGAAAGTGAAGAGAAAACCATTGGATGGAAACTTATAAGTGAAAACCAGAGAGAACTTTATTTTCAGTAGAGAAATCACGGCACAAAAAAAACTAAAAGGAACGACGCGATATCAAATATAGTGAATTTTAGTGTAAAAAAAATCAAATCGTTCTTAAAACTAACATTTTTCTTCTCGAATATAAAACACATCTTCGATATTTTCTTTATCGCTTCTCTTTAAAAAGAATTTTTAGCAAATTTACTTAATTTCTGAACAGAGAAATGAATTAGGAAATTTACAAATTTCCTTAATGTGAAAACTAGAAAAAAAAAAAAAACTCATTTCATTGAAACTTGCCCGTTAAATTTCGTATTTTAACAGTTAACTAAAATACGAAATTTAATGGGCAAGTTTCTTTCAATGAAATTAGTTATTTTGTTTTCTAGTTTTCACATTAAGGAAATTTGTAAATTTCTTAATTCAATTCTCTGTTCAGAAATTAAGTAAATTTGCTAAAAATTCTTTTTAAAGAGAAACGATAAAGAAAACACCGAAGGTGTGTTTTATATTCGAGAAGAAAAAGGGAAAATAATGACGTTTTTCCTTTAGTTTACATAAAAGATCAGATCGATTATTTTTAAAAACTGAGAGGAACATTATTACATAGTTAAAAAGGAATGTGATTGAAATAATTTATTTTTACTGTAAAAAGAGAGAGAATTCATTGAATAAGGACACTTTTTAGTTTTTTTTAACAACAACGAAAATTATGCAAAAATTTCGAAATAATTTACTGTAGTAAGCTACAAATATGGGGAAAGGATCAGTAGCAGTTCTTAAAGAAAAACATTTTACAGGCAAGAAGACGATGACTGGTGTTTTACCTTACTTTTTTAAAAAATTAATTATCAACTTTGAAGATGAACAAGAAGAGGGTTTGAAAATATGAAAACTTAAATGTGACGTTCAGTGGCACGAACCACAACTATTATTTTATGAGTTCGGTGAAAAATTGAATAACTCGTCATTAGTGTGTATTCCGTCGTTCAGGTAACAAAAAAAAAGTAAAGCGAAAATTTTTAAGGTAAAATATTTTCTTTTATGTATCTTGGTCATCTTATGAAATATGCGAAATAACGAGAAGTGGAAAGTCCCTTCCTAAATTTACTTGTTGAAAGGAAAAGAGAGAAAAATGTACATTCAGTGCACACACGCACAAAAGACGATTCTTTAAAGTCACATCACATGCTACAGCAGCGCTTCGAGGATAATGTCTTCTAAAATCTCAGTTCAGGGTTAAATTACGCTACTTTCTCCTGAAAATATATAAAATATTTTTTATGAATTATAATGTGTTACTATTTCACAACAGTTTATTTATTTTTTCAGTATTTGTGAAACACCAATCTCAGGGTTTCCGAGTTCGATCGTTAAGTTTTTAGTGTTTTTTCCAGATCACATTTTGTTTTTATTTCACGGGCGGATTTTTTTCAATTCCGTATTTCATTAGACAAGATTATTGTACAATGTACATAAATCAAACATAACCATATCACATAGGAATTATATGAAATAAAATACAATAACATTTATTTTCTCTCTTAGTGATATTATCGCTTCGTCACTTAAACAGTGTCTACGATTTATTACTGATTTTTACACAGTAATTGTGACACAAGGTCGAGAAGGGGAGTTGGGTTAAGGCTGGCCGACACTAGCTATACCTAGGTAGCTAATCGGATTCATGACCCATTCCTTTGTTCACCATGAGAATATCCGTCATCATTCGCTCCTACACACACCAAAATGCCCTGCACACACAGGGCACCTACTGGGCAAAAAAAAAACATTCACCCCACTCCCAATTACATTTTTAAATAACACTAATTAGCGAATTGTATGAAAGTGAGGGGTTAATAAAGAAATTACTATGCTGACATAGTAACTTTTAAATTTAAAAGATTATATTAATTACTTTGTTTCTTTTTTTTTCATTTTCTACTAAATTATTCTACTAAATTCATTCAATATCAATAAAAAAAAAACTAACACTTTTTTTTCTGTCAAGAAAATGCAGACGAGAGAATAAATTACTGATAAATAATTATTGTGTACTGAGTTACTGCTTTGGTCGGTAACAATGATGAGTTGATACCTAATGGAGGGAGATAATTTAACCGGCTTTTCTATATGAAGATTTTACAAGGTACTCCCTACCTGCCAGCATTATCCGGAAATGATTTATCCTTTAAACATTATTTTGTCAGAGGACTAACTACATTTTAAAAAATTAACTGTATAAAAAAAAACGTAAGAAAGAAAAAAAATCATTTGTGTCCAACAGTTTTTTAAAATGAATCAATTAGACTTGATAAAATAGTAATTAGTTTATTAATAGTAAATTTTAGACAATGTCAATGTGAAAGGGCACTGAAAAGTTCTTGGCCTGACCAAAAAGGAATTTTAAACAATCTGATGTTTGGTCATTTGGTCACATAAGTGAATCAGTACCCACCTCGTTTTATATAAATTCTATATTTTCTCTGATTATATGGAATACAGAAATGCTACTTTTTTGAAAGGAGCCTAAATTACATGACAAAACAAAGTTTCAGACGTGTGCATTGCTGGATTTATTTTATTTCTACAAATTTTTTGTTTATTGAGAAAGAATAAATCAACTGTCTTCGAAGGAATTCTTTTTTCCTTTTCAGTATCTCATCTTGTCAATAAAATTTATAATTGCTTATCAGACATATATCTAATTATGAAACAATATTAGATTTCATTATCAAAGTTAATGTTTTCATAATAAAATTGTTATTAAGCAACCAATATTAAAACCATTGCCTAGAGCTATGAAAATGATCAAATTACCACCATTAAGTAAACATCACAAAAACAAAGAAAAATAATATTACACACATGCATACTCATACAAGGGTGGGCTGAAAAGTCTATAGGCTGACTGAAGGATTGATGCTAGAGCTGTGAAATCTTGCATGCATTAATTTCAACTCTTATTAATAACTGTATTGTTTCTTTTCAGGTAAACTGACATCTGACTGTTCAAAGAAGACTTCAAATGTAACTGGTATGGACAAAATTTGGTATTGTGTTATTGTCAAATACCTGCAGAAAAGGCTTTAGTCATTAAGGAGATTCATGCTGACATAGTTGTTACATTAGGGGATGATAGTACAGCTTTATAAACAGTGCAAAAGTGGGCATCTGAATTTAGGAGGGGAATGGAGTGTTGAAGATGACCCAAGGTCTGGACATCCGGCAACTGTCATCACCAATGAAAACATTGATTATGTTCACCACATAATGGTGGATAACATGTGACTGACTATAAATGAAATAGTCAATATTATTAGCATATCCCATGAGAGAGATGAAAATATTCTGCACAATGAACTTGACATGATGAAAGTTTCTGCTTTGTAGGTCCCACATCTTCTGACACCTGATCAAAAGTGCACCAGGTTAATTACATCATGGGAAAATCTGACATTGTTTGAGGCAGATCAAGCTGGTTTTCTTGAACATTTCCTAACCCAGAATGAGTTTTGGGTTCATCACTTTGAGCCAGAGACAGAGACACAATCCATGCTCTGTCCTCACCTGCTCCAAAGAAGGCCAAAGTTATTTCATCTGCCAGGAAGGTGATGGCCTCAGCTTTTTGGTATGCAAAAGGCATTGTGTTTATTGACTATATTCAAAAAGGCCACACCATCAATGGAAAGTACTATTCCAACTTACTGAGGCAGTTATGAAAGGCTATCATGAACCAAATGCCCAGGAAAACTGATGAAAGGGGTCTTGTTTCTTCAGGACAATGCTCCAGCACACAAGTCCTTGATGTCCTTTGCTTGACTGTGGCTTTGAACTAGTTGATCACTCTCCCTATTCTGATTTAGCCCCATCTGATTATCATGAAAAACACTTGGCTGTATTGCAGTGATGATGATGTCATATTTGCAGTTGATGATCTTTTTTGGACCAACATGATGAAACAGTGAAAAAATAAATGGTTTGCTGAAGTAGAGAAACCTGTTAATTTGGCTATTATTTTTAAAATGCAATTTTAACTAAAGATAATTTTTAATGTTTTCTCTTCTTTTATCCTTTACTTTTTCGATACAAAGTACTAAATTTATTCCTGGTCACTTAAATATATAGCTCATTTTAAAAAAATAAATATAGGATTTAAAATGAACAAGATATATCAGTAATATTTATTTAACATACGTTCTCTGTAAGAAAACTATTTAAAGAACTGAGTAAATATGATTCTATATTTAATGATTATTTAATAGTAAAATCTTAAATATTCTTTGGGGTAAATATATTCCTAATCATTAACTTTTTAAT